GTAGTAGTAGCAGCAGCAGTAGTAGATGACAGCGGTTCGGTCGGTTCGCGTGATTTTTGCTGCGGTTCAGTTCGTCCCGGTTCGGTTCCTGCGGTTCGATTGGGTTCCACAGGCTCCCTGAGAACTGGCGCGAAAGTCGACATACCAGATTGTCCAACTGGAGCTACAGGCAGAAAAGACGATGCGTAGGCACGTTCATGGCTGGAAGTGGTGCGGTTTGTGGCCTAGGGGCTTCCATTGTCCATGCTCACCTTCAGGCCGAATAGGTTGCAGGACCTTGGTTAGCTCCAGGACAAATCTTGGAGGCTCTTGAGTACCAGTCCATTCACTGGGAGGATTACGTGTTTCTGACCTGCTTCTTCGATCTCTTTGATGAAGTTGTCATGTAGGCTTGCGTCTGGACGCAAACGACGTCTTCCGACTTGGAGATCTATTGCGTGAAGCAGAATCAGAGCGAGATACGTTGAATTGTGCGGTCGGCATTGCGTAGGAAGCGATGCTAAACGGTTATTATCAGATGGTAAAGTGTTGCAGATCACTTGAACAACTCAATCAACCTTTCAATCACGACTTGAAGCACCGGTGATGAGTAAAACAGGATTGTGTTAAAGGATCATTTTGAATGACTAATGTGCCGGCAATGTTCAATCCCTTGAGCACGTGTGCTGAGGATGAGAACAGACTGAGGCGGAACGAGAAGCGGGGTGTCTTCTCTGGGTGTCAGCTGGGTGACGATAAGCAAAACAATAAGAACCAACCAGACGACATGTTGATGGAACACGCGAAACTACAAAAGTCCCTAGTAGAAGATTGTCTTCACCCAACAATTCTTTCATAAACAGAAGGATGGGTGCTGTCAGGGTGGCGAACGGGTGCTTGTTGGGCTTGTGAGAGTGGGTGGCCTGTGATGATGTGTGAATTTTGGAACTAGTCTGATGTGCCTCCATGAGATACTTTGGAAAAGGATTTCTGGTAGGGCCTATAAATGGGGTTGCGTTAGCCTTCTTTGAGCATAGGGCCTGGCAAATAGCCTTGTCTGATACCAGAATCTGTGCTGATTTATTGAGCTTCATTCCAGGGGCTCAATACCCATCACGACTGGCGCTTTTGACAGAGTTACCAGCCTGTGAACACACATGTAGTTCCCGGTCTGGGCCGTTTGTCATCAATCTTCGATATCCTTTCTTGATTGTTGTCGTCATCCTCGTCTTCGTCTCTGGGAGTATAAGTATAAGTTTAGGGTTACTGGGCCTGTCGGATCCTGTTTAATGTAATGCACTGTACCAACGACATGTAGATGCGATGAAAATTTTCAATTTTGAACGATCCTATAATAGGACTCAGAGCTAAGGAACTCTAGTGGATTTGCGAGGTCTCTCGCTCTCTCTCTCTCTCTCTCTCTCCCTCCCTCTCCTGCATGTACCCATCTGCGATTCATGCATGCGCACATCTACGATACTTCCTTTCTCCGCATCAACCTCGAGACTATCAACAATGATCAAATCGAGTCATACGTTTGAATGCTGGTGCGCTTGTTGGTCTGCCAGGGCGAAGGCTTTTGATGTCTGGAGAATCTGAGCAGACTAAATTGACTAAATATCAAGAGTGCTGCGCTTGAGGTGTTAGAATTCGTGCCGCGAGCTCAGCTCTGAGTGCAGAGAAGGCTTCGAAGCGCATGGAGATGCACGGAGACTTGTGCGGTCGACCGTGCGGTCCATTGCACTTTCTTGGGCTGCTTGGCTCCGAGGCTGCAGCTGCTGTGTCATCCTGGAAAGCTCGCGTCCTTGGGCAGAGATCCCTTGAGTTTGGAGTTGCAGGCAATCCCATAGCATTCCTTTCCCCGATGCCCTTTTCAGTGCTTCGCAGGTTGGCAAGGCCAGGACGGGCTCGCGTGACCCTTTGTGTGCATTCTCGCTCTCTCACATCCGCCCGCACACGAACGGAAGTCGCGAGAGGCTCCACGGCAGCGCTGGCGTCAAGCTGGTGCCAGTTATCGCAGCTTGAAACAGGCCGGGTGACTGGCGGGCCACAGGGCGAGAGACGGAGTCGACCTGATAATGTGCAAGTGTGCTTCTCTCATCCGGTCTGCCAGGCAGCTGCAGGCGCCCAGTGCACCGCATTGTGACAGCAACGTTCGAAGTTCGATCCACGGCCACCGGCCAGGTGGTTCTGCATCATTTGACGAAGTTGGGGCCTTCGTTCAATCAAGAAGACGGAATGGAGAGACGGATGGCCTTTTGCAAGGAGTCGTGGATGGAGATGCTCCTTGTGCGCTAGGCTTTGCCAGGGGCAATTCATGCTAGGGCCGACTTTTGGCCCTGGCCGCTTCGGAAAGGGAGTCAGAATTCAGCCACACACTGCCCCAAAAGCACCCCGTGTGCGGGCAAGTGTGCTGACTGCGTACCTTCAGCTATGTCGGACTGTGCACAACCGACAGGTGCCTCGTTGGCCAGACTCGCAAAACCTGCCGCAGTAAACTTACAATGCATCGAAACTTGCTGTTGCGCCTGATGCAGCAGCGCGGGTCTTCCCTGTTGCCCTATGGCTAGAGCGACGACGCTCTAGACAGCAGGCGCAATCTCTCTCTCTCTCTCTCACACGGACTCGAGTCGAGCATGCCGCGATTTGGGCCTGCTATGGAGTCAAAAGTTGAAGATCCAGCGCATTTCAGGGGACAGGCGACAGTGACGGCAGTGACAAGTCCACGTCCTTTTCTTCACTCTCCCACATTGAGGGTTATGTACCGTCTGCGTGAGCTGCCCAAACAAGGCGCTGGGACAAGAAGGCCCACCCAAGACTGCAGTTGCCAGAGCTACTGCTATGCACGCAAGTATGTCTCATGGGGACTTTGTAACTTCCGCGAGACTGCAGCAGGGTGCTTCTGCCCTTTGCTGGATCTTGTACTCTAACCGACCCTAGTCGAGGATGAACAGCCATAGTGTAAGTCGTCACCAGCAGAGCTTCCGATGCAGCATCCTCCTCACTGTGCTGCGCGCTGCATGGCTGGTCCATGACTGCGACACTTGCTAGGCGAGAGTGATGAAGTAGTCTACCACAGAGTTGTCGTGTGATGCCTTGCTAGACGTTTCCAAGCTCCTCTGTGGCTGACTTGCCTGGGTGTGGTCTATGCTCTGCGCAAGTCTTAACTCAGCGCAGCGTGTTGCCATGCCACCTCGTCTCTGTGGCGTGTGTGCATGTGCAACAGAAGAGCTGTCGAGGTATCGGCGGTACTTTCTCCGACGGAAAGATGTCAGGCGACATGACATTATTCTTCAGAGGCTTCATGTGATCGGCGCTCATGCAGGCAGCTTCAATGAGTAAGCATGTTTCCTAATGTTGTCACTTTGAGAGGCAATCTCTGGTTCAGTTGCGCCTGTGCAGTTCTGGAATTCACAAGGAACGGACCGGCCTTGAAGATCTCACTTACTGGTAGCGTGGGGCCACTGCGCTTGAGAACCTATCCCACAACAAACGAATGAATACCGAAGCAGCCGAAATCGGACCACTTCAGAATGGGCACACTTTGTAAAACGGATGCCTCACGACGAAACTCTGGTGAAACTTCACAGGCTCTCCGGAGACGGCATGGCGTATGATGCTTGCTGAAGGTTGAGCAGTGGCTCTGCATCCATACAGTTGCCGCCAACGTGCGTACGAGTGGATCAGCGCACTGAGAGTAAGAAGCTTGCACGTGCATCGCTTGAGATGCCTAGATTGTGTAGTATGTTCAAATTTAGACAGCCCCCAACTTCCAATGCCCGGAATATGTTGCAGATAAAGCTGTCGCGCGAACTACTTGAAAGCTTCGGGCTGATGATGGCTACAGCAGTAACCAGAGCACACTCCTGTCTGGAGCTATGCCGGTGTAGCACTGCGCCATGGGTGATGAAGCTCTCCAAAGCAGCTTCTCATTCAAGCCACTTGCCTGAGCTTCCCCGCAGCACAGTCTGCCTCACTCTGTCCATGATATTCCAGGCAGCGGAGGCTCCTCACCAAGCGCGGGTGCTGGCTGGGTCGCACCGTCAGGCGGTGGTGCCAGGCCATGCGCAGTCCAGGGGGCGGCCAGGCGTAAAGGGTGCCGGTCTTGCGCTTTAGCCTGCAGCCTGTCAGGTGGAGAGAGCTGCTTTTCTGCATTATCTTGTTCGTCTTGAAGGTGGTCTTTGTCTTCTCATCTCTATCTGCTCGAAAGTCTTGCAAACGAGACCAGAGATTGATTTCGGGTGAACTGCTATCTTTAGCTCGTGGTGGCTGAGCTGCCGAGGATGAGCTGGTGTACTATGCAAGCAGAGAGGCCACAGTGCCAAGAGGAAGGGTTGCCCTCACAGAATGTGCACTCGGCCGCTTTGCTCATTCTCGCCGGGCGAGTAAAGGAGTGTGTGCTTCGTTCATGAGGAGCAGTCATCCAGAATGCAGGTGAGGATCGGTTTCTTGTGAGTTGGTGCTGGCTTAAGCTGCGAGCTTCCACTAAGAGCAAATATGAGCAACGAACCTGACTCTCTAAACCAGTCAGCGCATGAGCACGCAAATTGAGCTTCTGAGGTCGAGAGCATGATCAATTTGAGGCATGGCCGAAGGCACAGGTACACCCCTCAGAGTGATGGCAAGTGCTCTGCTCAGTGACGTCTTCCCGATAGACACATTCTCTGTCCAAAGGCTCCCATCTCCAAGACGCTCCAGCTTGCACGGCCGGGCAAGAGTCCCATTCTCATCAGTGGCACGTCGTCCGAAGAGATGGCGTCATTCGCTGCATTCATACTCAGCCACAAGAAGAAGCAGTCGCAGCCCGTGGCAGAAGCCTTGCCTGACTTGCCTGCTTCCGCGACGATGCCAGAGATACCTCCGATAGGTCCTCAATTCATGCCATACGTTCGAAGTCGCGAGCCGGAGACAACCTTGGCGCGAATTGCATCCCGAACATCAGAGTGGTCTGCTCCGGTTCCAGAGGAGCTCGCAGACCGCGCCGATACTTCACCCGGAAGCAGCAGCTCGACATCCAAGGTCAGGCAGTCTCAAGCATCTGTTTTTCATGAAGTCGTGCACGGACTGGGTCCGAAGCTCGCTTACAGAAAGGCAATGGAACTAATGTGGAACTACGACTTGGAAGCAGCTTGCGTTCTCTTGGACCCCTGGAGATCCTCGGTTCTCTGGCATGCCGCAGCTTATGCCGAGTGCTCGCTGTTGCGAACGATTCTTACAGGCCGGAAAAGCGATGCAATCTCAACTCTGGAGCTGATAAAGGCAGCAGAGTTGTTGCGAGACAGCCCCTCTTCGCTTTCGCACGACATTTTCACCGCGGAGATTTTACTAATGCGGAGCTTGCTGCAAGTCATGCTGGGGCAGCGCCTGCGGGCTTTGTACAACTTGCGACAGTCCTGGTATGCATACTATCGCTTGGAACAGTTTCTGGAAAGTGACTCAGACCTTCGGGCATGTGCCCGAGACGTTGACTGTGTCATGACGTACGAGGACCTGCGAGGCCGTGTTCTGTTTGGTTTGGGCTTCTTCTACATGGCCACTTCACTGATTCCCACCAGTCTGGTGCCGCTGATTCGCCTGGCCGGCTTCGTCATGCACAGGCAACGGGGCAAGGTTTACCTCTTCGAGTGTGTCGAACGTGCTCTTGGCACTCGGTCGGCTCCTGCAGCCATCCTGCTGGCAATGTACCATCTGGACTTGGAGCCTGTGGCTTGGCACGCAGATCTGTAGTAGGGTGGAGCTGCCACGCCATGCATCCCTTGAAGGAGACAGACATCTGCTGCGTAGGTTGCACACTTTGCACGTGTCAAGATTGGAAGCTTTCTGCCCAAACCGAAGCTTACAAGAAGATGTGTTGCGCAGGGTAGTAGTATGACCAACGGTCCTAGCCGCTGCCCTGGGAACATGGGTAGTCTCCATGAAGTGGTTCTAGCAGCCACATACCTTGCATCTTCCCTCGTAGCCATTATATTCATTCATGCACTGGCATAGGGACCTGCAGGCAGAAGCTCTAGCGCTAGCCTGTGTTTGGCCATGGACCACCCAACAAGCACGGAGGTGCGACAAGTTTTTTATGGCCGGGTGAAGAGTTATAACTTCACACGAGGCTTTGGCTTCTTGGAGGCCCCATCAGTTCAAGCGCTTTATGGCCGCGACGTCTTTATGCGAAAGGAAGCCGTGGAAGACTTGACGCTAAGCCGTATAGCAAGCGGCTCCGGCCCAGATGCAGAAAAGGATCGGGGAGAGATGTTTGTACAGTTTTTCGTGAAGCTGAACGAGGCAGGGAAGCCGGAGGCTGAAGATGTTCGAGAAGCAAGGGTCGAGGACTTGCCGCAGGAGTTGCTGCAATTGCCACAGTCACAACGGATGTCCGGCCGCCCTCAAAGCTGCCCGGAGAAAGATCGTAAGGAAGAGTCCAAAGCCAAAGCCAAGGCTTCCAAGGACGAATTGAATAAGGGGAAGAAAAGCAGGGGCAAGGGCACCAGGGAAGTACATCTCGAGTTGGATGCTGATTGCAGGATTCGCGTGGGCCGCGATGCAGCCGAGAACTGGGATATTTTAGAAGCTGCCAAAAAGAAGCATTGGTTCTTCCATCTCACAGATTTTTCGTCGTGTTATGTTATCCTCGAGTGCAGCAGCGAGCCCTCTCCGGAAGAGAAGCAGCAATGTGCGAGGGTTTGCCGTGAAAACTCGCAGAAAAGCCAACGTGCTGGTCCAATGAAGGTCGATGCGACACCATGTGGCAATGTTAAGTTTGACCGGAGGCGTGATGCGGTCGGAGAATGTGAATACAAAGATGAGTCGAAAGTCGAAGTTCTGATCGTGGAATGAGCCAGTGAACGTAGGGGAGCTCGAACGTCACATGGGTTTCAACACTATTGAGGCTCCAGACTCCAGTGCAGTGCAGAGAGGCACCGAGTTTTGAAGCGCTCCCAGACTTGTGATGCGGCCTGTTGCGACGCCTGCGCGGCTGGTGCAAGTACGGCACGTTGCAAAAAAGCCATCCGCACGAGTCGCATCGCATGTGTCATGCTTATGCGTCTTCCGAGGACATGAAGCACGCCGGCAACATACTGATTGCAAGCCTGGGTCGGCAACCGGAGAATGCACTTCTGCATTGGGCAGGCCTGGCCAGGCTTTGCAGGTCATGCTCGTTGTGATCGCTGATCCAGTCGGACTTGCCTAGATTCCTAGATTTGTGCGTGCAGCTACTCGTTGCAGATGGGAGGCTCACTTCTGGCCTGGCGCAACACCTTCATGGCGCAGGCCAGGCACGCGAGTCCCGCTTCAAGAGCTGAGAGCAGGTCTCCCCCTTGTCCCTAGCCCTGGCGAAATAAAGAGAGAGAGAAAGATGTTTGTTGCCTCCGGATGCTTACGTCCGTTTTGTGCGAACCATGCCCTTCTCGTGCATGCATTCCTGAGTTATTGGCCCCCACCACAGCCCTGGCGAAAGAAAAGAAAGATGTGGATAGTTTGTTCTGCTTTTGTTCTGCACATTTGTCACTTTGTTCCTTCTTCTGCTGGTACATGAGAGAGCCTCCCGACAAAGTGCTGACAATTCTCTTTGACAGCCCGCCTTTCGCCCGGGGTGCTCCAGCGATACGACTTTCCGGCTGCTTCCTCTCTGTATCCGAACCATGTAGCAGCCTCTACTATTGCATTTTGTCCAGTATCAATGTGGCCGGCTTTCACATTTGCTTGAACTCCCCGGCGAAGCAACCGTAGTTTGATCCGTTGTTGTACTGCCGTCTGCCCTTTCCGAGGTGAGCCAGGCAACTCTTGAACTGCAGGGTTTTCGAGACCATGCTTAGAGTTGCCCTTCTAGCTCAAGTGATCTCGTTTTGTACCGGACTGCATCTTGTATTCACCTTGTTTCAGTTGGTCCGTTCTCATCCAGTTGTTTGAAAGTGCCTCGCGACGGTTTGCTGCAGATTCTGTTGTTGACAGCCTGTTGTTGACAGCCCGTAGTTGCCGCGGGGGAGCTCCGACCGCAGAGGTAGGGCATCCGTGCCAAAATGCTGCGATACCTCGGCTGTTTCCTCTTGATGCTCGGACCGGGTGAACTGGTGTTTCTGTTGACATGTCATGCTGGTTTTGGGGAAGAGAGCACTTGAACTGGGTCTAGCAAGCCGGTACCGGCAGACCTGCATGCCTTACCCTTAAGCCTTACACGCCTGAGCGTTACTGTGAACCCGTTTTCTCAGGTTCTCCATAAAGCATACTCTCATTCCTTAGTCTTGTTTGCGGGGAGCAATCTTCGGTCACTGCAGTCATTTCCATAATCATTCAGTTATACCGTTCTTGATATGACGAAATACTGCCATAACCCAGATTTTCCTCGGGTGCCTTCCCACAAAGCCCATCAACACGGGTGGGCCTAGCCTCGAATATCGCACTGCTGCAGACCGTCGGGGTGGGCCTTCGCGTCAGGGCGTTCAGGCCCCCAAACCCTTAGCAAGCAAGCACGCGAGCTAGCTCTTGTTGCGTGCATGCGGGGAGGGCATAGTTTTGGTTGTATGGAAGGAGAGAGCGACAGTGAGCTGCTCAGTGTACCGCTTGCATTCGCGCAGGCCGTGTCCATCACCAGCAAAGCGCTCTGGTGCTGTGGAGAGGACCCCGTCTCCCCGAAGATTGGTGCTGCACGTGGTTGCAGAGCTGGGCTATCGTTGAGTCGAAAGAATTTCCTGCTGTTCTGGTCGGATGCAGGAGCTGGGAGAAAAAGCTGTGTATCTCAGTGCCTTGTCTGAACTGGGGCTTGGGCAAGCTAATGCATCTTGTATTTCTTGTCGCAACAGCTTGCCTCTGTTCGGTGCAAAATGGTGTGACATGCCGTAGCTCAGGGTATGAGTTGGGCATGTTCCACTTCATTGCCATGGAATGGCCAAAAGCCCACGAGCACTTCAGCTGCGTGTACAACTCTGTGAACTCCGACAAGGCCAGGCCAGGCCAAAAGCCCAGGCCGCGGTGTGCCGCGCTGCGAACATCTTGCGGCTTTCGAGGTCTTCTTCCCTTACCGCTCCCTTGTCACCACCCAGCAGCTTGGCCCGTAAGAGAGAGAATGCCCAGTTGGCAAATCTGTGACCTCTTTAATTTAAGGTTGGCAGCTGTTGCCTTCAGCATGGGTCAGAATGAGCTGGGCGAAAGTTTGTGCAAGGACATTGTTGCTTCAGCCACTGGCAAGCGCGGTTACAACTACTTCTCACCTGCCAGGAGTGCGCTGCCATGCAGGACTGGAGTACCCTCTTGAAGCTAGAATCCGACTTTGCCCCTCGCCGAAGTCCGTGGCTGAATGAACTATGAGAGTGAGCGCTGTGATGTTACTCGGAGCACCATAGAATCCAGTGTTGTAGTGCTCAATGTAAACGGTTTCCCCAGTTTCGGCTACATGTAACAAGGTTTTTAGTGTGTTCTCGGATCTGGCCTTGGAGTGTTGGAAGGGACGTCATCCACAGCCTCCTTCGGGCACAGGGCACTTGGATTTTTTCTGAGGCTCAGGCCCGGCTTTGGGGGCCTGAACTAGCAGTTTTTCTCATCAACTGCTGCGGCGTCATATTCCTCTCATGTCTGGGCGACCGGCGAAGATGTAAAACTTCACGAACTTGGCCCTCCCTCCCTTCTTTCCTGGGTTTCCATGGCCCTGTCCTGCCGCCTCCAAACCGAGCAGAACATAAAGCTACGTGCAGATCCAGATTCCTTAGCGGAGTTGTGCTCTTCATGGTTCCCCGCTTGGTTAGAACTGTTTGTGGGTGCGGTGGTGGGACGCTGCCCCTGAACCAGCCCGAGGCAGTCATGAGCAGTCTTGAGCTCACACGGAATCTAGGGTTCAGGTGCCATTGCCATTCCATGAGTATGTAACCAAATTATCTATGTATCTCCCGAGGCACGAATTCTACAGATCTTCCTGCGGCGGAGACAATGGCGGAACCTTGCAAGCACGTGTGCTGTTGGGGAAGGGTAGACCTGCGGGAGCTGGCCACAGCAGTCCAATGACTTCAGGCAGCGCAAACTGCCATGTTAGGATGGGCCCCGAACCCGAAAAGCTGTCAACATCATCGTGACAGCACCTCCCGACTGCACGATCATTGTGCGGCCGGACTTGATACCCTTCCTCGATGGCAGCAGAACGCGTTTTGTTTCAATGTGCAACTTGCAAGGCGTCTGCTGGCCTTCGAAGTCATGTACTTCCTGCGCCAATTCCCGAAGGCGCCTCGGCGCCTCTCCAGGCCTTTGCTGCATGTAGATGTGACACGAGTGCTGCAGGTTCCTGGCCACATGCTGCTAGCCCTGAAGGAAAGTGCCGGCAGCCAAGCTCGTCAGTTTGTTTCGGCCTACAGCAGGCCGTGGCATTTTTCCCGCCACGAGCCTCTAGCATCTGACTGAATGACATCAAGCCGAAATTTCAGGTGCGGAAGGCGACCAAGCCGGTTGACGAAGACGCTGAGTGGCTGCCGGAAGGTGTGCCTCTTGTGAAGACTTCGGGCTCATGACATCACATGAAAACAGCGCAGCAGCAGGCGAGAACAGCGACAGCTGCATCGTGGAGATGGCCAGTGCGCTTACCATCCAAGTCGCTGCCTGTCGTTTAGCTAGACCAGACCGAGTCGGACGATACGTGCTGCTGACTCGCTGCTGATGCTGCGGTATCCAGCCTGTGCAAAAACTTGCTCTGCTGCTATCAAGGTTATTTGCTTCTACCTTGGCGATGCTGAAGCGGCCCCTGGTTTGCGCATTATCCGTATCATCCATAATGTCCCCAAAGAAAGCCGTTTGCATTTCAAGGCAATGGTCTTCATTCCAGACTTGTCGCAGCTGTGCCCTCGATTGCCCGGTTGGGCGACGTTGCCTGGCAAGATTGGGTTCTAGCTTTTTTGATAGGTGGCATGCGACCGCAGCTGCTCTTGTGCGGCATGAGTGGCTCAGCATACAGTGGGCTGTTGAGTCCAGTTCTTGCCATTGCTCTCGGGCCTATATAGTTCAAACTTTAAACATGTCCGAAATGCAAGGTCGAGGATGTGCCACAAAACAAAGCCGTCAATAGCAGCTATAGTGCACACTTGCACCATCTTGCACCAAGGGTCTTGAATGTCTCCTGCACTATGCGCATCGTCCTTCCCCCCCGTGTCGTGGTAGGAAGTGCCGCCAGTCATGATGCAGCACAGGGCGCGGGGCATGCGACAACACTGGATAGATCCGGATGAAATCTTTCGGGGTGATGCTCTCCCAGAGAGCCATAAGCCCTGAATCTCAATCCAATTCCGAAGCTTCAAGCTTGACCACACGTAGACAAGAAGAGGCAGGAATTGCCTGAAGGTATCTTTCAGCCCACGGCCTGTATTGGTGCGGTCGTATCCTGGCACTCACGGGCAGGGACGTTGATGCGAATCTTGGATCAAACAGTGTAGCAGACTGCAAGATCATAACTTCGATGTGCCGCCCAGATGCTCCGCGTTTCCCTAGACGCCAAGGCAAGCTTGTTTCCAGCAAGCAAAGTCGTACAAGAAGCAGCTTGGAAAGAGCATGGCCCCCTGACCACATCCATTGCACTGTAAATGAATGAGGTATCCCTTCAACATCTCCGTAAAGATATCGAAGGTGGGAGCATGGGTTGGATCTGACGCAGTCATGATGCACACAGTTTTCCTGTCCATGAGGTGAACCCGTGCCGGATTTTGAGTCTCATGTCTTCAGGAATCAGGTTTTCTTTTATTCGGTATTGGCCTCAAGGCCTCTTCGTCAAAACGCCTCTCTGCACAGATGCCTACTTGCCTTTTTTCGGGCCGATGGAGATTCAGAGTCAGTGAAGTTCAACTAGACTCTTAGACAAAGCAAGCAAAAGGCAACCGAAGATGGGGCAAGGCGGTGGGATGGTGCCCACGCCCACAAGACCCGAGGAGACCGGCAGGGCCACACAGCGAGCCACAAGACAAGAGCTACCAGCGATCCGAATGCCCATCCTGAACGGAAGCCGCATGGATGGTGCCAAGCACAACGGGATGGCCTGTGACAAGTGCGAGACAGAGGCTAGAAACACCAAACGAGGCACAGAAAGCTGAGTAGGAAAGTTCTGCATTGTGCAGCCACGCAAGTGCACGCGCGTGTCTCATCTGGAACTGGGACCAGCCGGGGACCAAGTTGTACCTGATCCCAGGCCTCTATCCCCATCGCCCGACCTGGCCGAAGAATCCTATAGTTTATTCCACTTCCCAGCTGTGAACATAGCCCTTCTGGAGATTCCACATCGAAGGGGACTTCACGGGAAGTCAGTCTCGTTGATAAAATGTTCGGGACAAGGCTGTAATTATTAACAGGTCTTTCCGCGTCGTCTTCCTAAGGACACCTGTCGAAAACTAGAGCTACTGCAGCGGGATGATGCAAGCTTCCCTGAACGTCCATCTTGCAAACCCAATGCCCCAGCATGGGCCTCAGTTTGAAGAGCACTTGTTTTCAGAGAAACGGCGGACTTCTTTTTGCCCAACCTGAGCCAATTACTCGCTTCTATCCGTATGCCTACACATGCTTCCTTTAGCTAGCTCACCAGAAGAACGAAAGAGACAAACAGGGAAAGCAACTGCATAGTTGCCCGGTTGCAGCCCTGTGCAGATGTGATCGGAGGTCGAGCAGGTACGAGTCAACCTTTCAATCATTCCCCCAACCACTTGCAGGGTCTGGGAAGGAAAGCAGCAGCACTGCCTTGGAGTGTCGGTCGCAACCTGCTTCTGTGCCGTCTGCTGTCAGCGAAGGGGGGCAGGTAAGGTCACCACAAGAAGATGAGGAGCCTAAAAGCGACGAACAAGGCCCGCTGTCAAAGCGGGTCGTGTCCCGGCAGGATCGGATGAGCAACACCATGCGCTTCGGCATCACTCGTCCATGCCGCATCCAACACTTGCTCCGCAGTACAAATTGGAGTTTCTGCAAGTGCTTCGTCCGCCTCGGCGTCGCAGAGGGCGGGGAGAAACTCCGGGTGGCGGCGTTGAAGAGAGATTGAGGGAATAGATCTGAGAGCCAGAGGAAGGGCCGAGGCGAACTCAGGAGTGCAGAGGCCCTGTTCGTAAATTCAACTTGTTGTTGTCCTCACAAGTTGGTTGTCTTGCGCATTGCTTGAGCTAGCAGTTTCAGCCGCAGCAAAGACAAATCTGTCAGGTACTGGCAGAGCATGAGGAGCAAATGGCGCAGCAAGAGGAGCTGACGAGCAGCGCTTGCTGAATCTCTTGTCTCAATTTTCCCTGCTTCGTTGTCATGGGTGCCAATGCCCAACCCACAGTAACCCACACAATCACAAAGGTACTTGCTACACCCACAGGCACCCAAGCAGAGAGACTAGGCTAGCCATTGCACAGAATTCGCACGATGTGGACAGTGGGTGACCGTTTCACCGCCATCCTCTTGTTCCGAGGAGGTGTTCATCATAGCAGTAGTAGCTTCCTGGCTGCTTGACCTTCGGCTCGCACAGCTAGGATTGTCGTAGTTCCATCTCGCACAGCAAAGGCTGAGATTGCGATTCCAGTTAGTGGTTCAGTGCCTTAAATGCCGGGATGTTGCGGTACTTGGAAGTTCGATTCTGAGAGGAAGCATTGTCGTATGTCAGCAGGTTTGCATCTGCCACTCCCGTCGCGGGCTGCAATTCGGTGGAGGTTGGCAAGGCGGCTGGCAGCCATGTCTTCGGTGCTCGAGTCGGTGTCTGATGCTGCTGCTTCTGCTATAGTACCTGTGTCTGGAAAAACCCAGTAAGAGTCTGCTGTTGTTCGATTCTGAAGGAGCATCCCGCCCGGACACCCACACCGACCGAGAAGGAGAAGACTGTGGTTGAAGAGTTGACCAAGCAGGCCTATGGCCTAGATCTAGATCATGCAGGCCACAAATCTGTGAGAAGTCCGTGCGGGACACTCGGAGGTATGCTCGCTCCTCCTGAACCAGAGATATCGGGCATATCTCCACGCCTCTTATTTGCAGATGCATGATGTGCTGCTTTTCACTGGAGACGTGGCGAAGGTGGAGGTTTGGATGGCATGATGTGGTGATGCTCTTGATGTGTGGTACTTGAGTTGTCGTCAGGTTGAATTGCGGCTAGCGGAGTCGCAGCACGTCGTAAAATGTCGTAAAATGAATGGCGCACTGTCTCTGTCTCGTGCGCGCGCACATGTGCCTGTGTGTGTATATGTGGGGGAGTGGGGTGCCTTGACGATTTGTCCTCGGAAGTACTCGGACGTAGCAGTCCTTAGTGGACCCGGCTGTGTCTGTATCCTCAAAATGCGGTTTGTGACGTAGAAAATTCCAATACATTGGTTGGTCTCGAAATAACAACCCTCCCGGAGCACCAACAAACGCGATCCATTGTAAATTCCAATACGTTGGCCTCACGTTGTTGTCGAAATTCCAACCCTTTCTGAGGACCCGGCATGTGCGCATCCTCCGGTAAAGCGCAAATTATAAGTTCCGTTGGTCTCGGAATGACATCACTCTCGGTGGACCCGGCGTGTCTGGGTGCTGCGCATGGCACCGCTTCGATCTTGGTATCGAATGAACTCGCTGGCACTCGGTGGAAGCTCTTGGTCACGTCTGTGAATCCCGCCATTACGTGGTTTGATAGAGAAGCTTATAAGATTTGTAAAGGGGTTTGTAAGGTTGGAAGAGCAGTTTAAACAAGGGTTGTGTAGAAGGATGGATGGATGGATGGCTGGTTAGGAGGGCAAGTGTGTACGCATGGATGAAGGGATGGATGGAAGGATGGATGGACTGATCAGATGAGATGAGGTGAGATGAGATGAGATGAGATGCGATGAGATGCGATGAGATGAGATGAGATGATGCTCGGTGTTACCTCGCCACTCCGGGACACTACATGATGCAGACAAGACTTGGGCACTGCAGATTTCTTGCCGGAGTCCCATGAAAGACATGCGCTGAAGCTGGGGCCCAGGCCTTCACCATGTTGCTTGCAACGCCGGCTCGTTGCGCTTCTTGACACTCCTGGACACTGCTGGAAAGTTGCTGCTTTGACGTCGAACTTCAGACCTGCCCTTCCTGGACTTTTTTTGGCTCGAGTGAAGCTTGAGTCTGAACTTTTGTGCTCGAAAGCTCCGTAGCATGAGGGCATAGAGGCCATCCTACATCGATGGCACAGAATCAACAGCAGATGATGCCCGGGACTCAAGCAGAAGTGATTTCCTTTAAGCAGAAAGGCTTTTCCCTAGAGGCTGAAGTGCATGATGCAAGGTATTACTATGCCGTGGCACCCGTCCAGGCAGGTCACGTGGTGCAAAATGATGGTTCGAACATGAACCAAGGGCAGATGCAAGGCTACGATCATCAGATGCAGAACTTTAACATGGGAAGCGACCATGGTGGATATACCTACGTCATGAACCAAGACGTTTCGCAAATGGGCGTAAATGTACAGCAGCAAATGGCCCAGATGCAGCCTACTATGATGGCCGCTCCTGGCAACGGGTGCATGCAGCAAATGGTCCTTGTGCCTATCATGCCCGACCAGCAACAGCCCCAGCAGGGGATGCAAATGATGGATCCGAACAGCGGATGTCAGGGGTGCCAGGCATGTCAGCAAGGATGCCAGGGATGCCAGGCTGGCCAAGCCCCAGCTCCTGCTTGGGGCCAGGCCAACATGGCCCAGTGTTGCAACGGCTGTGGTCATGGCGGGCACATGCCAGATGCCCAGCGAGGCCATCAGGCAATGCAGCAGCAGCAGCTGCCGCATTCCAGACCTCACGAGGATCGCCCACGTGAAGCAGGGCCGACCCAAGGGCCTACAGCTTTCGATGGTGGCATGCAGACGACTTCCATGCAAGCCCCAGGTCCGGCGGGTCCGGCGGGTCCGGCAGGTCCGACAGGTCCTGCAGGTCCTGCAGGTCCTGCAGGTCCTGCAGCGCCTGCAGCTGCAGGCCCTGCAGCTGCAGCACCAGCTGCTGGAAAGAAGAAGCTTTTGAACAAGAAGATCGACAAGACTGCCCCTGCCCCAGCCCCAGCCACGGCCGGTACAGCCGCCCCGGCTGGCGGTGCAGGCACGGCCACGGCATCCAGCTCCCAGACATCCACGGCTGCTACCCCAGCAGAGAGACCAAAAGCTTCACCAGCTTCGGACACGACGCCCGCACCAAGCGGACCCCGTGAGTCTGGAACCGGAACCACGGCTGCAGCCCCTGTGCAGCGTTACCAACCCACGCCAATGCCAGCCAAGGCAAGTCAACTGTCGGTCCATCAGTTTGCCTCATCAATCAAAGCCTTGAACCTTGAGCCCATGCGAACAGCATCGGCCGCCAAGAAGAATCAAAACCATAGGGAAGTGTATTTCGACCCGGCCACGGCCAGGTTGCCCGAACCCCCAGCACAGCAAGAGGCACAAATACCAGCTCAAACACCGCAACAGCAACCAGCTCCCATAGCAGCGAATCCTATTTCTCCACAGCCATCACCTTCTCCGACACAGCCGGTGCAGCCAGGCAGCATTTTGATTTGCATGGTTGTTGGAGGATCAGGAAGGATGCCAGGTGGTGATTTGAGGCTGACATGTTGCAATCCGCAGGTATTTGCAACATGACATATCCCTCGTGCCAAGGCAACCCAAAGCATCTCCGCCACCGGCGGCATCTCCACCTCCTCTCAAGAAAGGCTTCAAGCTCGAGAACAAGAAGCTACCCGCTTTTGGCCCAGCTCTGTTTTCTGCCAACCCAATTGTGTCTGGCCCTCGCCGCGTCAAAGGTGAAGGCGAAGCAAAGTGATGACGTTGAAGCAAAATCCGACCCTCCAAAGGAGACAAGACACGCACTGTGCACATGCAAAGGTCTGTTTTCGTGTGCGGCCTGCCCTGTGCCAAAACGTTGACAGGAGACGATCAAGGATGCACCGCCTGCGGTTGTGAAGGACGTTTCCCCGGCGAGAGCGCTTTTGATGCCAGTGCTGCAGGATACCTGCTTGCTAGTGACAGGAGTCGGTGGTGATGCAAGCGGAGGCTATAGCTCTGGAGCCTGCTGGGGCCTCTCATGTAGCTCAGCTGAACAAGTACCACGACTGAAATTCAGGAGTCAGTTTTGCGGTTCCCAAGATCTCGCCCAGGTCAATTTGACTCCAGTGAACAAGGTCTTTAGTTGCTTGGCCGGCAAGATGTGTACGTGTACGTTTGACTGTGGGCACACTGCCACGCGTGCTATGGCATGCAGGTGTTGCAGCGCTGGGTCCTTAACAGCACCACAACTAAACGCACTGAGGTCGTGAGCTGATGCTGCGGATTTGGCAGATGCACAAGGGCGAGCTGCATGGCGCAGTGGCAGAGTTGCGACTTGTTGGCACATCATTTGAACCGTACATGCGCTTACTGTACTGATCTTGACTGCCACAGATCTGCCAGCGTTCGTCCTGGAGAAAAGACACCAATGCTGGAGAGGCAGGGCTAGTTGGCAGTGATGCGGGGATGGCCTTTTGCTGGTGCAGATGTCAGGAAGAAGTCTCTGAAGCGCGAGGAGGCACCTGATCGAGCAAATGTCGCATGCCTATACAAGTAGACTTTGGGGTTCTGCTGTTGGCAGACGAGCCTGAACGCACTTAGGTCTTCGGGACGGACATGAAAAACAAGGGCAGCTTGGCCTCGGCTTGTCTGTGCTCATAGCATCGCAAGCCGGCCTCTTCTTTTCTCCAGGCAGAAAAGAGACGCAGGTTCTGAAGCCCAGCGAAAATGCTTACAAGGTAAAAGACAAGGCTGCGATGCGGCGATGTAGTCGCGCGGAGTTCGGCCCGGTCGCTTTGAAAGATGCAGGCCAACGACCGCATGGAGGAGCTGGAAAGACATGCGCGACCCTCAGTGACATACCTTGTGGATACCGGGTGTGCGTGCTCCATCTCGGTCGTCACGCCAGTTTTGTGACGGCGTGCAGGTGTGTGGTGTATGCTTGACCATACCTACTATGCTCCCTACGCCCCTGCGCACTGCCACTTGCGCTGTTGCGAACATTACGAACAGACAAGCAGGGAAAACAAGATCGCACGCCATGACACGCAATTGGCATGATGCCTGTCTTCTTGGACATGGCCCCAATCAGGCCCGCAGCTTGCTGAACAAGATCTGTCCAGACAACCTGGCCAAGATCGTCGACCAGCTGGCCAACATAACGCTCCACAATGCCGAGGAACTGAAGCATGTCATTCAGATCATCTTCAAGAAGGCCGGCAGACGCACGCTTCGGAAGTGAGCTCAG